ATCTACCCAAGCAAATTTATCCTTAGGTGGAGTATAGAAATTTCAATTATGGAATTGAAACCTGCCTGCAGTGTTTAAGTGTGGTTCTTTCAGAATAGGAGTCAAAGACAGGTTTCACTGCTCAGGGGAAAAAAGGCAGATTAATTTCCTTAACTTGTCTTCAATAAAATTTCAGGGAATTCAGTTGAAGCTTATTATCAGAACTCGCTCAACTACTTAAAAAAACTGGCGTTTTAACATCTCAAGCCTCTGTAGTTGTCCTCCTCTCAGACCTCTTATTCCCTGCCCCCGTTCCAATTAATATTTAGCTAACATTAAATACCAGTAATAACAAACCTCAGTGTACATAGAATATTTCTAAAGTTTATATAAATTTTCTTCTCACAGCCTGGTTCACCGGGACCTGTAATACCTGCCCAGCCACATGGGAAAATACTCACAAAACCAGATTCCCACTGGGAGGGAGCAGTTACTGTGTCAGAAGCTGAGAACGGTGTCCACCTGAAAACAGAACTCCATCAAAAACAGCTGTCAAGTAACACCCAAGCACTTTCGAAGAATCATCCTCCACAGCCACTTGTTCGCAGTTCATCTGAGCAACTTGCACAGAAGCTGCCTTCCGCGCCCGTGAAGTTGCACTGTCCTCCATCACCTCACGTAGAAAATCCTCCAAAGTCGTCGACGCCCCACACGCCTGTACAACACGGTTATCTTTCACCAAAGCCTCCTTCACAGCAGTTAGGCTCTCCCTACAGGCCTCACCACTCACAGTCACCTCAAGTTGGAACACCTCAGCGAGAGCCTCAAAGAAATTTTTACCCAGCAGCACAGAACCTTCAAGCCAGTACGCAGCAGGCCCCTTCTGGAGCGCTGTTCACGCAGACGCCCTCAGGACAGCCCCCGGCAGCGCTCAGTCAGCAGTTTACCCAGTCGAGCCTGGGCGGCGCGGCCCCACCCCCCCCGCCCCCCCCCCCCCCCCCCCCTCGTCTTCTTACTATCAAAACCAGCAGCCCTCCGCAAACTTTCAGAGCTATAATCAGCTGAAAGGCAGTCTTTCCCAACAAACTGTGTTTACATCAGGACCAAATCAAGCTCTTCCCGGCACCACGGGCCAGCAAGCCGTTCCGGGACATCACGTGACTCCAGGGCACTTTCTGCCTTCGCAGACCCCTCCCGTTCACCACCAGACCTCCGCCGCCGTAGTCCCACCCCCGCCTCCCCCTCCTCCCGCTCCAGGACCACACCTCGCCCAGCCACAGCCACACTCCGTAGCACACGGCGTGGGGCCTGTCCACGCTGTCGCCCCTGGGTCCCACGTTCACTCTCAAACGACTGGACACCGTCTGCCACCCCCACCTCCCCCTCCCGCCCCGCATCACCATCCACCGCCCCACCCCTCCACGGGACTCCCAGGTCTGCAAGCACAACACCAGCACGTGGTGAGCTCCGCCCCTCCACCACCCCCTCCTCCGCCGCCTTCCGGTGTTCTGGCTTCCGGACATCATACCCCATCGGCTCCAGCCTTACACCACCCACCTCATCAAGGACCTCCACTTTTTCCTTCAAGTGCTCATCCAGCTGTACCACCGTACCCCTCACAAGCTACTACACATCACACCACTCTGGGACCGGGACCCCAACACCAGCCTTCTGGAACAGGGCCACATTGTCCTTTACCAGTCGCAGGTCCTCATCTCCAGCCCCAAGGACCAAACAGTATTCCCACACCTACCGCTTCAGGGTTCTGTCCTCATCCTGGCTCTGTGGCCCTGCCACATGGGGTTCAAGGACCTCAGCAGGCATCTCCAGTGCCTGGACAGATTCCAATTCACAGAGCACAGGTGCCACCAACATTTCAGAACAATTACCATGGTTCAGGGTGGCATTAAAATAGACTCCAAAAACTTTTTAAAATGTTCTGTAAGATAAACTGTACATTTCATATGTACCTGTTAAGGTACTTTTTAAAGCTTGTACATGAAACTTTGTATAAAAAACAAAACAAAAAAACACCAGTGCTCTCTCATTGTATTTTTCCCATTTTTGCTTTTTAAAAAAATCCCTTAAAAAATGTGCTGTTAAGCCAGTGTAGGTATCTTTTATTTTGTAAGTGAACATTCCAGCTGTTTTTCTGGCAGTAGATTTGATGCTACATGATCTTTAAATTTTATTGTTGGAATTAAATTCATTTAGTGAATGTTTTCTATATTATTATGTTATACATATGCATTAAATACACGGCTAAGTAATGGCAGTACGAGGATTTTCTTTCTATCAATCAGCAGTTCTGTGAGTGCATCTTATGTATAAAAAAAATGCAATACAGATTTTTAGTTTGGTGTGAAGATGGCTCATTTTGTTTTATCGGTTATTTGCAAGCAAAATGTAATATAATGTACAGATGATTTTTAATGTCTCCTGAAAAACTGTAAATACTGCATTTCTTTTGCGTATATAATCGCTTACAGCTTTTCTCATTTGACATATAGCACTGTACATATGACATGTCTTTGCAAAACTGTGTGATCTTTGTGAAAGTAGTACAGTATATGGCCTTTAATTCCTCTATTTTAAATATACTGTCACATTGAAGCACTGGTTGGGCATTTTAATTCATGTTAATAAACCACAATTATGTCAGTTTTACCAAATTGTCCTGTACCACTTCTGAGATTGGGGTCTGTTTATGCAAGAGTTTTTACAGAAGTTACCTTTTCCAGATAGAGTTTGTAAGGAGCCTTCCATTTTCTTTCGCAACTACTACCTCAGCTGGACGGGACTGCAGCAAGATCAGGAGGCGGTAAAGGCTTGTTCCTGGAAGGTTCCTACGTGTTATTGTTTTGCAGGAGCAGGAGCCATGAGAAACTACCGTGCTACGCAAATGCTGCACACGTTTGCTTATATCTGACATCGTACAAGATGAGTCCATTCCATTGAAGCGTCCCGTGATTCAACTACAGACTAATTTACAGCTGTTTGAAAGTACGGAATATTTTACCTAAAAACACAGGAATATCTAATTTGTACATGTTAGAACATGACTGAGATGTCCTACTGATGAACCAAAATTAGTTGAAAACCTTAACATTTACTGTCTAGCTATAGTATTTTAAAGAGTAGCAGGAAATTTTACAAATTTGTTTTGGGTGTACAAAACTACAGGAAAAAGGCATTCTTAGCTCTCTCAAGTGAAATGAAAGTGCCCTCTCAAGTGAACATTTTATTGCTGAAATACAAAATACTAGTTATTATTTTGGAATAATAAATTCTTATTGTCTTCTACCTCTCAGGAGGATTAAGTATAAACCAATAGCAGTGACAGTATTTGTCAACATAGTTCACCATCCAATTACTTGACATAATTTGACACAGTATACAAATTCTGTGTATTGGAGAAAAAAGTAAACAGACTAAAAATGACTAAGATTGGCAGTAGTATGTCATGTTTTTACACTTTTAATGTCCATTTCCTTTTGAAAACAGCTACATTAACACAGCTGTGTTTAGGGCTCAATCCTAATCAAGTTTTAGAACTTAGGTCAACTTTGCCATCCTTGATTATCAAACAAGATTCTACTTATGGTATTTGCTAAAGAAATACCTGTCCACGAAGAAGTGGCTTTACATCATCCAGTCATCCACTCCCCCCCCCCCCCCCCACCGATAGTTTCAAACAGAAGACAAAGTTAACTAGCATAGTGAACTATGAATATTCACACCTCTTTAAAAGGACTGTCCTAAAGATTTTAATTCCTCATAGTTTTAGATTTGCCTACTATACAAATAATGTATACGGAAGCTTTTCTGTAAACTGCATTAATTTCTTAAAAAAAATTAATGGGAGAAAACTGGAATTTAAGAAGTAATTTCACCGGCAGATACAAACTGAAGTTCTCTACCCCAGCTGTTCACTAGCTACGGACAATCCAAGTACAGGAAGAAGCAAGTTAGTAAATCAGTTTTCACCTAGAAAGCTAATGCTTTTTTGAAGCTCCTATTATATCCACTTTTCCTCTGCCTTGGGGCAGTTCTAATTTCCAGACAGCCAGCTTCTGAATCTGCTATCATCACATATGTGATCCACTGCTTGTCATTTTCCATGATGACTTCACATGGACTAGAGAAAGGAAAAGATAGGACATTCAACTGAAATCACGGAGCTGGCTATAGTGTTCTGCATAAACCAGTGGTTCTCGTTTAGCTTATATGCATTCATCATCATCAAGCCACCAAGAATCTGCTAAAAACCATACCATACCTAACACAAATGTATATTCCTTCTAGAACAATTGTTTTTATATTTATAAACTAGTTAGGCTATTTTATCCTAAATTAGAGATCCTTACAAAGTTCGTAATTATCTGGATTATTTTCTAACATGAGCCCAAACTGTATTAGACAAATTTCATTCAAGTGTGCCATAACCCTGATAAAAATTCTTATGGACTTAGGGAAGACATACGTGAACTCCGTGGTTCTCGTGAGAATGGTTCCTGTGCAAATTGTGGATGGCATCACTGGTCTACAGCCACTATCTTTCACGGAACCTACAAGGTCACCTACAGCCTCAGAAGAAAAACTTAGCATGCACATTTCATAAATGAATGGTATCTTCCACCTCACAGCGATATGATCTAATGCTAACTCCTAAGAGGATTACGTGTCTTGTTCCCTCACAGTGAATACTGTTAAAAAAGAAGAAAACTGACAATGCGCAAACAAAATGTAACTAGTATGTTTTTGATGAAACGTGAATGAAAAAGGTTCACAGAAATTCTAGGTAATGGATCTATACTACAGCATCTTTTCTAGATCCATATCCTACCCTTACAAAACAATGAATGTTTTCCTCGTATTAAGCCTTAATGCATGTTCTACAACTACCTTTCCTGCTACAGGAATGCTGATACTTCCTTTCGTTCTGGTTACACTGCATTGAAAGGATAGCAAATGTTTATTGATTCTATCGCTTCAAATATAGGCCAATGACCAAGGCAATGTCTGGAAAAGAAACCCAAAACACTTTAATTTTTAAGACAACTGCAAGCACCTCAAACAACGGATTATTGTTACAACACTTGTTAACTTTTCACAATCTAGTTATTGCAAAGGCATATGGATAAATGTTAATGGACAAAGTCAAGAAAAACGAGGCACCTTGAGGAATGTAAAACAAAAAAAATTCAATCCATTGATTTCTAAAAGAGGCTAAATGTACCTCTATATATTACATTCTAAAATTGTATTGCCTACTATGGTCTGTGTTCTGGATTCTACAGTTTTAAGGAAATGCATAAACAAAATTGTGTGCAATCTGCAAAGGGAAAAAATCATTTTCTCAACTTCAACGCATGGAAAGACAATGAAAAAGCTAGTAAAATGTGTTGTAGCCACACACTAAACTGTCCCTGGAATGAATGCAATCCCTGTTACCTCTGAGATGTTAGTATTCTGCCCACTGCACTGTAAATTGTACATATCATACCTTGGTTCTAGACAAACACGAGCAAGCTTTTCCAAAACAATATATTTTTTCACTCCACACACTGAACATGTTTCTCTTGTCCAATTTAATCTATGTAGAGTTTAACTTACAGGGCTTGGAGGAGGCAACACCACATGGTACCAGGCTACCACATTTTTAAAGGGAAATTGCTCTTTTTCCTTAAAAGTACCTTTAATTTAAAATATGCAAAAATATGAATGGGAGTGCTAAACTATAATACGTAGTTTAGAATGAGAAGCATGTCTTTTCTTTGTATAAAGTGCCATATAGGGAATGATATAACCCAGAGCCAGTTGTTTAAAATCCAATGCAAAAGGACTGTCACGGAATGAAAAGTTTGCACAACTCCTCGGAGCAGTTAAAGTCCATTACATGCAACTTAGGCTACAAAGCACTCAAGACTGGGTAGCTTTTCTGAAATTTGAGTCCCCATCCCATATTTAATGGAAATTAACATTTACAGGGTGCATTTACATACACTATAATACAGGAATGATGTCCCTTTGCCAGAAGATCAAATTGTACATTTCCTTGCTATTTCTTGGTTCCAACTTGATAATTTCTTAAGATTGTAAATTATATAGTACTCAGCTAAAATACTTCTTCATAAATAGTTACAAAACCTGCCAAAACACAAGGAGGAAAGTATTCTTCGTTCAAAAAAAATTGACATTTGAATGTCACACAACACAAGAAACAATGCTTAGAGACATGTTATTGTTTCCAGAAGTAAAGTGGGTCAGTAACTACTAAGCTGAAGACAAAAGACTGCCCTTCCCCAGGATCACAGTGCACAAAAAAGCAAAATGTCAAACGACAGTACCTCAAAGCAAAATAAAAGGTCTGAGGATGAAGCCAGCTCACTTGTAATCCTGTTAAGAACGAGAGTCCCCCTTTAGGGCCAATGCACTGGACAACATGTGCCAGCTCAGAATGCGTGTGTGCAGAATCTGCTAAGAATTCAACCAAGGGTGCCGAAGGCATTCGCCCGCTGAGGCTCGTTTTTCTGGAACCATTTCTAACATTGGGATCAGGAAATCTGTAAACTGTGCAGCATCTTCATGGGGCCAACCATACTTTTCCACAAGTACATCAAAGAGGCTCCAGGGCTTCAGCTTGGTGATGTGCCGCAGCTCTCCTACAGGGAAAAACAGGCATGTCAAGAAAGCTCCAACTGTGCATTTCCCATTGTTGGTCCAGCCGGGTTCTTTACAATGAAGCAGATACCTACCTGCTCAACACTACATGACAACAGAGGCCAGCTTTCCCACAGACGAAAATGTCACATTTCAAGTAAGCTTGGTGAATATAAACAAGGGTTCATTTAAAAAGGAAGAATTCATTTGTATCAGCTCCAAGTTTCCTTAAATAAGCAGAGCACGCTGAGGACGCCCAGAATATTTTCATTTGCAGAGACTGACCGAGGCACTCTCCCCAACTTGGGATTCTTCGCAATTTGTTTAGGAAAAGCTTTAAGATACATGCTATTTAAACTCCTCGGACCATTTTTTCTGCAGCTTACCATTTTCCTCTGGAAGAGCGCTATTCAAGAGAACCTGACAGTAGTGACAGTAGAGGTGTACTTCATCGGTATAGGTGCTGTCCAGTATGGTTGCTGCCAGCTCAATGTGGCTACTGAGCGCTCAGAACGGGGTGAGCGCAACTAAGGAACAGAAGTTTAAGTTTAAATATAGCCACAAATAGCTAGTGGCGACTGTACTGGACAGCACAGCCCTAGAGCCAGCCCACATCAAATAGCATTCATCTCCACACATTTGTTGTAAAATCTAAGCTATCAGGACATCAATTTATAAAGCCTGAAGTTATACTTTTCAAAATGTGCTAACTGCAGTATGAAAAGTGGGGGTTATGAGCAGCCCTGACAGAGTGACTGACAAGCTCATAAACGGTCCACGAACTATAACAGCCTTGTTCGCAATAGGAAAAAAAGTTACTTTTAAAGTCAAACTGCCAAAAGGACAGGAGGATGGTCAGGGAGAATGACTCGTCTCCTCTGTCTGTTCACAGGAGCCGCGCACCGAGAGGCCTCCTCCGTCTGCCCCGCGGCTCCCCTCGTCCTGGGGCCCAAGCCGCCGACAACGGACACCCTCACACAGAGGCCAGTTCCTCTCTCCGCTGGCACCTGCTGTAACCTCACCAACGAGGGGGTTTGTACACGCGGCGCACTGACAGAGGGTCAGTCCAGGGCTCACAAAGGTCTTCTCAGGAGGCCAGGTCTGCTCCACCCAGCTATTCAACCCAGTGTAGATACACACCCCTCCTGCTTCTTTAGTCATAAAGAAGATAAAAGGGTATCACAGACAATTACGAAAACAAAGGAAAAAACGACTGGTAATCCACCCCACGATGACTTCTCCTTTGGGCCTACACTCTTCCAACCTGGGTTCTTATGAACTGGTCTGTCTACAGAGTAGTCATGACGATGTGCACACAATTCTGAATACAGAAATCACTAGAAGGTATTTCTCGTGAAAGGGACCGGGTGTTAAGTAAGTTCCTGGCTCCCAGGTAAAGACGGGGGACAGAGTTAAGTGTGGAGGCTGCAGGCCAGGTCTATTGTCCCGAGGCAGGTGGACCCGCCACCTTAGAGGAGACAGTGTTCCCTCTGCCAGCAGGAAACACAGTCCCCGTGAGAATGAGTGGGAGCGACCACTGACCGTTCACCCCTGTAACCCAGAAATCCCCGCCGTAGGGACCCCACCTAAGGAGATAAACCCTGGCACCCACCCACCCGCCGTGCCCCCAAACTATGCTCACTGCAAAATCACATACACTCACAAAATTACAAGTGCTCAGTCATCGGAGAACGGTGGTCAAAAACACAGCCAGCCACGGTACACCCACTTGACGAGGAGTAGGTAACAGCACTCAGTAACGTGTGGGAAAGTGTATGGTAACGTGCTTAGTAGTAACGTTAGTCAAAACTGTGTTCCACATACAATCCCAGGAGTAACTTTCAAAGTGCCCATAAAGATGGAAAGCAGGCGCTCTGAGACACCAGCTTTGTTTAAAAGTTGTTTCTTTCTCGTTCTGCATTGTCTCTAGTGAAGCTCTATTGATTTTATAGTAACCGCTCATCTCACCAGGGTGACGTTAGAGCAAACTAAGAGGGCACACACGCAACATGGTGAAACCAGCTCCGTGGGTGGAGAATGTTATTCTGACCTGGAATAAACGCTCGCCAGGTTTGCAAATGAGAGCAACTGCCGAGCTCGGTCTGCTCAGACCCGCTCAGAACATCCTGAGGATGCAGTTCTCAGATATACTAAACTCCGTACATAGGCAACAGAGTACAAACCTTCCATGAAAAGACAGACGCTTTACCATGACAGGTGCCTTAAAATCTACGTAATAACAGTGATGAAAAGAATACAAAGGCTGGAAAGCTATACCGAACTAGCCGCCCCGATAAACTGATAAAAGCGATTCCAAAGGAAATCCTAAAACATCTGACGCACTTTTGACCAGGTAATCCCACACAAAAAACTGTACGTGAAAAGATACTGTCTGTAATAGGAAAATATGCAGTATGCAGAACAGTCCTAAATACCAAGATACTGAATACATAATAATACTGCAATATAACAGAATAGTGCACTGTCTTTAAAAAGAACCAATACGTGGATCATGGAGATAGGTGGAAAAACTCTATAATGCCAAGAAAGACGAAATAAACTCGCCTCGGCCCTATGATCATATGCACAACTTCTCATGTTCAATTCCATGATAAGAAGAAACGCTGTCTTATAAAAGTTGATAAAGGTTATTTAAAAACAAACCCTAAGCTCCCAAACTTGTGCGTCTATTGCTAGAAACGCCAAGAACAGGTTCCTCTGACGAGTAAGGGCTTCAAGTCCATTTACCAACTCCAGACTGGCCCATAACACACAAGAAACACAGCCACCTCCACTCCCACCACGTATAAAACAAAAATAAAATAACCAGATGGCACAACGTTTTAAAAACAATTTTTTCCTATTTGTCCTATTGTACAAGTAGCTTTTACCTTGACATTTTTTTCCCTTAGGAAAATATACCAAGATGTGTTTTGTTGAAACAAATTGTGCCAATAACGAACCACTTGGTTGTGACAGTCTTTACTTTTTAAACCGTTTCCAGCTTTTCTTTCCTAAAGAATACTGAGTAATACTTAACCTTCCCTCGGCGTCAGCTCTCACCCACACGCAGGCCACCCAGACACCAGCAAGGCCAGATGGACAGCTGCCTCTCAGGCTTCCTGACCCACTCCGGGGGGGAGGGGGCAGAATCACCCTGAAGGATCAGGAAAGGCTGACAGGGAGGGGCCCTGAAGGAGGGCCCCTCCCCCGGAGTAAAGGCTCGGGAAGGCCACGCTACATGCCAGCCTCAGGTCATCAGGGTGCTCTGTAAGGAAAAAAGTTAAGTACTTGCATTATACTCCTCTTGAATATTAAGTGATTGGTGAAGGAAAATGTATTATATTGACTATGAAATTACAGCATTCCAGAATTACACACACAAGCATATGAGGTTTTACACCACACATGGGGGACGATAAAGGGAAATCCTGGTACTGTAACTCCTGGTAACAAGAAACCATGAAATGCAATAAATTAGGACAAATTTCAATAGCATACACATAGAAAGGAAACCTATCAATAAATACAGGTACAAAGCAAGACAAAAAAACACAAGAAATTTGAACATATTCCTACAAAGTACATGTAGGTAAATATTTGAAGATCTGTATTAAACCGTACCTCCCACACATAAAATAGATCCTAGACCTAAGAGCTAGAACCATAAATTTTTGGAAGGATAAATTTTCATGACCTTGAAGTAGGCAATGGTTTCTTAGATGCGATATCAAAAGCACAAGTAACAAAAACAAGAAACAGAAAATTGGACTTCATCAAAATTAAAAACCTTTGTAATTCAAGTATCACAACATGTGCATTCAAGAGAAATGACAACATTATGTCCACACAAAACGTGTACACTGATGTTCCAGCAGCGTTATTCATAATAGCCAAAACCCGGAAACAACCCAAATGTCCATCAACTGACAGAGAAACCTGACGCGGTCTATCCATACGTAAAAAGAATGGAGTATTGATTCATGCTACCACATGGACAAACTTGGAAAGCACTAGAGTATATGAAACAGGCCATCACAAAAATCGACATATTGCATGATTCCATTTATATGAACAATCCAGAAGAGGCAAATTCATAGAGACAGAAAGTAGATCAGGGTTGCCAGGGCCTGAGGTAGGGGGATGGAGAGTGAGTGCTAATGGGCCCAGAGTTTCTTTGTGAGGTAACAAAAATGTTCTAAACTCAGAGACTGGTAATGGTTGCATAGCTGTGTGAATATTCTAAAAACTACTGAATGGCACACTTTGAAAGGGTAAATTGTATGCTGTGTAGATCACACCTCAGGAAAACTGTTACTGAAAAACTGGCACAAAGCATACAACAAAATAACTTTAAAAGAATTCCAGGGCTTCCCTGGTGGTGCAGTGGTTGAGAGTCCGCCTGCCGATGCAGAGGACAAGGGTTCGTGGCCTGGTCCGGGAGGATCCCACATGCCGCGGAGCGGCTGGGCCCGTGAGCCATGGCCGCTGAGCCTGCGCGTCCAGAACCTGTGCTCCGCAACGGGAGAGGCCACAACAGTGAGAGGCCCACGTACCGCAAAAAAAAAAAAAAAAAAAAAAAAAGAATTCCAATGCTGTGTTAAAGGATGCAGTAAAAACAAACATCTCACTACTGAGGAGCTCATACTAAATGATAGGAATAAATGGGATGAACTGTAATAGAATTTACCTGAACCTGTTACAGCAATTTCATTGTTTTTTGTGGGGTTTTTTGCACCACATGCTCAAGTTTGAATGAGTAAAACAGTAATTCAAAGCTACTCCCGGCTGTGGCTCGTGGTCTGTTATTCCCCACATACTTTGCTGTGTGTTCTGTGTCACTACAGCCAGCCTCCAGGCTGCAGCACGGTCACTATCACACACTATCTCCACCACAACTCTCCGGGGAGGCCTCTCACGCAGCCTCCAAGCAGGGACCCGGGGCAGAGTGAGCCTGCCGTCAGTGATGCCAGGACGACGGGCGTTACTAGGACTGTCCCAG